TGAACATACACACACACACACACACACACACACACGCACACACAAACATGCACACTTACACACACAGCGTAATCCAACATACAAGAAAAGTGGTTCATTTTCAAAATGAACATTATGTCAGGATACTAAATATTCATATCATAAGCCATCGGGCATATCCATCAACTTCATAAGTATACACGTTTGAAAAACAAACAAACAAACAAACGATTCCACAACAGTTATTTCCTCTTAACCTAAGACCTAAAACAGATTACATAGTAGTAGTACTATCTCCCACTGCAAAAAAACATTGAGAGTCACCACATATAGAGATAGATTATTTGTGAGGCAGCGAGGTGGAATCAGGATCTCGTCAAAATAATCAAAGTGAAGAAACTGGCATTTTTCCGCAGGTTTGTGAATTTTTATCAAATTTTTGTTTTTTAGCTCAACACCTTTCATGCCCATTAAAGAACTCATTTCTGTGTGGATTTTTCTGACAAGCGTTGATTAAAGGTACAAAAATGTAAATTTTCAGTCACCACGGACTCTAAAGCTAAGGAAATAATTAATCTTTGAGGGCCATTTTCTCACTAATTTTACCTCTGGAAACAGTGACCCCCACCTCCTTCTTTCGCAAATATCTCGACTTGTATTCAAGATAAATGGATATTTTTTCCACCAAAATAAAGACAAGTGATTAAGCTTTAAGATGATAACAATAACTCTACATGCCCAAAAAAATTGACGAGAGCCTGATTCCACCACGCTGCCTCACATTTCTTTTTCGGGACAGTGGGTTTCCTTCTTCGCATTTGTACCTGAGCAGTCCTTGAATGGGAAGACTTTGTCCATAAAAACATGTTAAGCTACATGACGAGCCACACCAATGAAGACAGGTCAAGAACTGCTCCATGGTCAGTCGGCCAGTCCACAACTCTACCTGTATTACACCAGTCCATCCCAGTCCACCCAATGGACAGCAACAAGCTGTCACGAGCATTGACATTTTAAGACTATGTCTCCTTATGCGCGACTTGACTTTGCGTCGTTCTTGGCAGACGCGATGAATCACAAGATGTGCGTCCTTTTGTGCGACAACATCACACGGTGTGTCGCCCGGAACTCCTTGGCTAGGTCCTTTGACCAATGGTAATGCTTTAAACCTGTCACACTCCCAGTCTATCATGCCTGATGAGGTCTCAGTTGCTACGTAGAACAATCCCTGGCGACTGTCGCATGTGGCTAGACCGTAGACGTCACAATGCGCGTAAGGGGACAGGTTCTTTATAATCTTATTCGGTTGATTTTGGAGCGGCAAGGACCGCATGCGACGCGACGTCACATCATCGCGCATATGGAGACACACTCCTAGATGGACAATATTGTTCACTCCTTAGAAGTTAGATATACTCAGTGCTTGCCAACCTGGGAGATATCGCCCACTAGTGGCTGATTTGGTAATTTTGGAGGGCCGAGGGGATCACGGGATCACCTGGGAAGTGACAGGTATTATTCAACGTCATGCTTGGAAATACATCTATGTGGGCAGTACAACAATTGTATCATTTTTTTTAAAAAGTGGGCGCTCATTATATATAAAAAGATTGACAAGCACTGAATAAACTGATGAAATACCAAAATTAAATGATACCATCCAAGACTTTTTTTTACACAAGGTCATAACTTACCACGAACATCGCTTTCCTCGGAGAATGAATGACCTTCAAACATGCAAGGGTAACATTTCGGGTTTTTCTAGAGGTACATCGACACAATAACGGTCATTTAGTGCAGGAGGAAAGTAAGACGGACAGAACGAAATAACAGAGGAGAAGAAAAGAAGTAGGTCCTGGGCTTGAGTTTTAGTGGAGCAGTACGCTGCGCGGCGCACATTCCATCCTGGTGTGGCAACGCAAAAAGTGATCACCGTGCAAGGGTATTACGTGAGGTACATTTTTGGTGAACAAAAATGGGAGTTTTCAAGCGGACAAAAGATTGCTTTGTTGTTGTCTAGACGGCATGGGAGTAGAAAGAGATTTAAAAGTACCGGTATGTCTGTACACCCAATTAATTTGAAAAAAGTATTATCTTGATCTCCAATTTTGATCACTTGTGGGTGATGATTTTTAAAAATGAAACAGACCCGTTCTCACATCATCATCTTGTCAAAAAATGGCACCACACTTCGTCTTTAAAAAAGCAACAACTTTTATAGGTTTTTCTTTCTAAGAATCTAATTATCTCTTTTTTTTAAACTCTCTAAATGTGCATATTATTTATGCTAATTTCTGAGCGCACTAATGAGATTTTGATACGCTGAGTCAAAAAACAGAGTTGAAAATGGTCTACTATACATTAATGTTGCTAAAAATCTGTAATCAAGAATAGCAATTAACTTTTGTTTTATTCAAGGATGGTTAGTTAAAATGCACAGCGACACTGCTCCACTATAACTGAGCCCCTGCAAGTGGCACCCTCCAATGATCTGCCAGAGATGATGAAGTTTCCTCTTGAAAATATTTTTGTGCTGTGAACAAAAACATAAAAAACATTCTGTCCATCCCCCTCACCCCCCCCCCCCCCAATCCCCCGCTAAAAAAAAAATGCCCAACCTCTAGACTCCTCACTGCTTTCAACACACACAAAAATACTCATCTTAAAATGAACTAGTGGTCATATGTTTTTGTTTATATATATAATATATATTATGCCCCATAATGGATGCAGTGCTGAACATTCCCCCCCCCCCCCCACCCTTTCCAATTAAATGGAACATTTATTACATTGAATGTTAAATTGTATCGATATGTTGAACTATAATAGACCAAATATTCATCCTTCTCCTGCTCCCCAAAGCCACTTAATTCAGCTGAAATACTTTACTTACTACAGAAGTACTGAACTATTGCTGTCAAATGAACCATACTACAGAAGTACTGAACTATTGCTGTCAAATGAACCATACTAATGATGTGTTCACCCCACCCCTCACCTCCTGACACCCAATCCTTTAATGGAATACTTCTGAAAAAACTGTTTCTGTTCATTGCACAGAGACATACAAGTATTACAAGACCTGACATCCCCCAACCCCGCTCAATCCATATGAAATATTTCTTACTTAACTCTTAACCAATATAAAATAATATCTTAATACGAACGTGCCCCCCCCCCCTCCCCCAAACCCATCAGTAGGCTATGAATCTGGGAACAAGTTGTAACACACAATCAGAAATCTTAAGTAATGCAGGTGCCCAGAAACATGATGAGGTAAAAACATGACAGTCAGAAACAAACAAACAAAGAGAAGGAGCAACTTAATCAAACCGAAGTGGCGTTAACACCGCCGATGCTGGGATTGTGGGAGTAGGGGTTATTTCCCCTTTTCTTCCATCTTAAAGCTGATACAGGTATATAATATAAACATTCTCCATGGCACCTCCGTGACCGTGAAAACTTGACAGGGTCATATAAAAACATGCAATCAAATTCAAATGAATTACCGTAATATTACATAAAAACTATTGTGCTTGGTTTCAGTTTGTTAAATAACACTTCGCTTCCACCCAGCACAGCGCCACCCAGCAGTTCTGATGTACTACACCCAGAGTTTTAAATTCCTTTTCATTGCAGTCTCTTGAACTCATTATCTCTGGCAAGCGGCTCCCAGTGGCTCGCAGTCGGAACCGCTGTGACGGTGAGCCACTGGCAGCGGTTCGGGCGCATTCCTTTACGACAACTTAGACGTCAAATTACTTTGCGGCAATCAGTTAAATCATTAGATGAAGAACTATCAAAACAGGTTCACTTGTCTTGATTTAATGACTAATTTAGTGACACACATGTCACTTTTAGTCTGTACTCAAGATATATTTTGTCGATATATTCAAATTCTAAAAGTCGAAAACCGGCAAGAGAAGATATAGAAATGTAGGTACCAATGATTAGAAGAATGAAACAATTTTTTTACCTGTCCTGTAAAATTTTCCATTCAGGTATTCAAGTACATTAAAACAGTTCACTGACGACAAGTCTTGCGTAAGGAAAATATCAATTCAAGTCAATCCACAACGAGGAAACACTGAACAATGCATCATGCTCTTCGGGACTTGAACAAAGTCTACAAGAAATCCAAGGCTCAGGCATGTCCACAACGTACATGATCAATTCCACACGGCTTGGATCAACACAAACACCAGCAAAAACTTCAGTCTCTCACGTCACTGCCGCAGATCAGTCCACGAGATTTGTCGAATCAACTATGACGAAAACGTCATAGCTACAAATACTTCTATTATTCAGCAAAGCTAAGACATGAAGAGCATCTCTTGAATTTGGTTACGGTCTCCAATAGAAAGAAGGGTCACTCGTTATCTGGGCGTGCCGCCTGTCAGGAGGGTGGGTCCTCTGGCAGACTTTTGCAGCTGTGACAACATTTGGTCTTGAAGTTTGTGAAGCGGCACAGCTTCATCATGGGGACAATGCTGCAGTAGTCTGAGTTGTCCACACATTCTGGGGACACAAGACCAGTAATGCAAGATTACAGATGGATTGCTGACGATTTCACATAAATGTTTCTAAAAATCTTCTCCAAGGAGAGGTTAAAGTTACACTTTTCAATTCATTTCATACATTTCAACTTAATGACTTTGGTGCTAGAGTTTGAGAAGACTCATAATTATTTCCTAGAACAAAATTTAAAGCAAATGCTAAATTGACACATTTGACAAAAAATGAATAAAAAAACCCCCAGCATAACAATGTCATTTAATCAACGTATACATACCTATATAAATATATAAGATAATCAATTTAGAAATCATGTAAATGTTTTAGACAAGATGCACTGACTGTATTAATGATTAATAAGCCTAAAATAAAGATATCATCCCATCCTTAAGAAGATGACGATGTGAAAAATAGAAATTAAAATTTCTCACAGATTTCACTATTTTCTACACAACTTTTGACCCAGTAACCCTTTCATGCGCATTGGTTCATGAGTCAAATGCAATTTACTTTTCGTTCATTTAAACTTAGCAGCTATCTTTTCCCTCATCCCCCTTTTCTCTCTGGGTTTTTCTTTCTTTTTTGGTCACTGAACATAATGCTCAAGCCAAAATTTTCAACTATGGCAGAAATAGTGAACACTCTACAATTTGCTTTTCTGAAGGGAAGAAAAGATTCTGCACAAATCGGACAAAGGGATATTATATTTATGACAAATATATTATACAGAATAACAACATTATGGAGGAAATGAAGGAAATAGAGGCTAACATGACAAAATACAAGAAAGTCTCCAGATGAAGAATATTGCCATGCCCAAAAGGACACACGATTAAGGAAAGAAAAAGAAGCAAATCAAAGAAGCAGACTGAAAAGACGCAATCGCATTATTCATCGCTGATCAAAAGGAACTTCAAATTAAAGTAAGTCATGAAGCCCTTAAACTGATTATTTAAAAGGCAAAAGAAATGAAAGCACAAAGAATGGCAAAAGCAAACAAATTTACAGATAAAATCTGGAAATGATAATAACAACAATCTTGGATTGATAGCTACAACAACAGATAAAATCCAACTGGAATTTAAACAATGAGGATGGAAAGAAAGGACAACGCAATACCACTAGGGTCTCCAGACTAACTATATCTTAAGCCTTGCTTAGAGGAGGCATACCACAAGGATGTAAACCACGATAATACAAAGAAAATATATCAAATGTAACATATAATTAAGTCCAGCCCAAACCTATTGACCAAGATTTTTCACAACCAATAAATCAGTCAGATAGAAAGATCGAGAATTCCCATTTATCATCAAAGTTCCTACTTATTGTTTCTGTCAGTCTATTGAAAATTTTTATTTTGTATTATCATATGTTCTAAATGGAATGCTTGGTAAAATTTAGAACATTCTGCCAAGCTCCAGCAATGCTGAATTATGATGTGTCATAGGCGGGCTCATCAGTACATTGGTAAAGCCTTATATGAATTCTGAACCCAAAGTTCAGTAGTGATAGGACAGAGCTAAGTTGGTAGAGATCCTTGAAAATATCCCACACAACTCAGATTTATGACCAAGTACATGGGAGACAGCTAGAGGATGAAATAACAATTAACAGATATGAAGCTGTCGACACATAAAGCATGATGAAAAACAGTAAAACATGACCAAGGAGGGAATAAAACACCGTAAATTGAAAATATAAAATCATGTCAAGAAAGTGCTAAGTAGGTATTTGTTTCACCAAGGCTTGAAGTTTAAAGCAACTAGAAAGTGACTTGACTTTTGTCTGTATTCCTTATAAGAATTGTACAAGACAGTGTGAAATTGTCTAAGATGGTCATTCATTGTTGAGGCAAAATGGGGTTGCTTCAGACAGGTAGACATCTTGGACAGTCTCATAATAAGACAGATAAATCGCAAAGGGGGGAAGTGGGAAGTGGTCGTTTTTATAATTGTGAGGCAGCGTGGTGGAATCAGGCGCTCGTCAAAATAATCAAAATGAAGAAACTTGCATTTTTTCTCAGGTTTGTGAACTTTTATCAATTTTTTGTTTTTTGGCTCAACACCTTTCATGCCCATTAAAGAACTCATTTCTGGGTGGATTTTTCTGAAAAGCGTTGATTAAAGGCATAAAAAATGTAAATTTTCATTTACCACGGATTGTTAAGCTAAGGAAATAACTAATCTTTGGCTGCCATTTTCTCACTAATTTTACCTCTGAAAACAGGTGACCCCTCCTCCTTCTTTTGCAAATATCTCGACTTGTATTCAAGATAAATGGACATATATTTGCATCCAATTAAAGACAAGTGAACAAGCTTTAAGATGATACAAATACCTCTATGTGCCCAAAAATTGACGAGAGCCTGATTCCACCACGCTGCCTCACAATTGATTGTCTTGGGCCTGTGGCCATAAGGGCAGGTTTGACTGTGTTTGAACTTACTCTTCCTGGAACATAACTCCCACACAAAATAACAGTCATGCAAACCGAAAATCAAAGCTGTTGGGTGCACAAACACAAAGGCCAGCTACACAGCATAATGGTCTTCGATGCAGTCAAACCAAAGGCATTCTGTCTGGCAACTCAGAAAGCCACAGCAGAGCACGCGGGCCGCACGCACAGTTTACGGCATGCCTGTAGATTTTTACCTAGCTGGTCTAGAGTCCTCCCCCACATACCATGTGTGCAGTTGTTGAAACAGGGGCGTGTCAGGACGGGCCGACCCATCCCCTCACAATGCCGACCCGCCGGTTGTCTGTTGCCCTCCCAGATGCAGGTCAGCATCCGGGTCTGGAACCCAGATTCTCCACAGTTGGCCAAACACTATAGGGGATTAACACAAATAGGTGACAAAGGGGATTAACACAAAATACAACAGATAAATGACAAATGTATCTACAAAAATAGTCAAATGAGTAAGGTGGTACATTAGTTTGTTCTTGTAAAGAGAACTAACAATACAGAAATTTACAAAAATAGTATCGTCACAAGTAGAGTGGTACTTTCAACTTGTGCGAGAAATAAGATGCAGACAAACAAAAAACACATCAGATGTATTCACGTATAAATAAGTAGTAATGAAAATGTAAGTTTGAGTGAAGAGAAGCCCATTGGCAAGACAACAGCCATACAGTGCTGGCAAAAAGCAAGGAAGATGAAACAGAAAAAGCAGGAGGTAAATAAATAAGTAGGACCAGCCACTAGGGCCTCCAACTACCTATTAAAATATAGAAGGAATTTAAGGGAAATCACATTAGAAAAAGGAGCAGAGGCAGACCGAAGAAGAGTTGGGAGGACAACATCAAGGAATGGACAAGCCAGGAATTCAAAGACATGCTCAGAAAAGCTGAAGACCGGAAGGAGTGGAGGAAGCTGGTGGCCAAATTCTTCAAAAGCGCCCTGACGGACATCTTGTCTACGGGATAGGTGAAGGTGAAGGTGACTTTGGTATTGGTGTAGGCTTCAACATCGAGCTCCACTGGCTAATTGGTTAGTAAACTTCAGGCTTACAATAATGTCAGCATAAAACGTTGACACGCGATTTGGTGGGTGGTCACTGCGTGGGGTATGTCCTTGAGCAAAACATGATAATCATACACAAAAACAGAACACTACAAAATGGCGACCAGCAATGGCCTGTTCGTAAAATTGTCTGCATTGGTGTGACATTGTGTATTTGGTAACTTTGATCAATGTTTTTTTCTTTCTGTCTGTGTGTTCAACTACGTATGTCCCTGGGTATTTATGTATGCCTGTATGATTCGCCATGGGGACCACTAAAGTGGAATTTATTATTATTATTAT